GATTTTGAGCCCACTGGCGGCTTGCTACGGTACTGCAGCGGATGTTGTTCTGCCTTTATCCTAGATCAGTCTTTTCCATCACTCACCTTTTCCCACTGCTAAAGCTACTATGCCTCCCTGATCCAGACCCTGATGTTGATACCAGTCCCTGCCCCTCTATCTTACGGCGATGTTGTTCTGCCTTCATCCTATCCTGTGTTTTTTATCAGTCTTCTCCATCACTCACCTTTTCCCACTGCTCAGGCTACTATGCCTCCCTGATCCAGAGCCTGATGTAGAGCCCAGTCCCTGCCCCTCTATCTTACAGAGATGTTGTTCTGCCTTCATCCTATTCTGTGTTTTTTCTTATCAGTCTTCTCCATCACTCACCTTTTCCCACTGCTCAGGCTACTATGCCTCCCTGATCCAGATCCTGATGTAGACCCCAGTCCCTGCCCCTCTATCTTACGGCGATGTTGTTCTGCCTTCATCCTGTGTGTTTTTATCAGTCTTCTCCATCACTCACCTTTTCCCACTGCTCAGGCTACTATGCCTCCCTGATCCAGACCCTGATGTTGATACCAGTCCCTGCCCCTCTATCTTACGGCGATGTTGTTCTGCCTTCATCCTATCCTGTGTTTTCTTTATCAGTCTTCTCCATCACTCACCTTTTCCCACTGCTAAGGCTACTATGCCTCCCTGATCCAGAGCCTGATGTTGAGCCCAGTCCCTGCCCCTCTATTTTACGGAGATGTTGTTCTGCCTTCATCCTAGTGACACTCACCTTTTCCCACTACTAAGGCTACTATGCCTCCCTGATCCTAAGCTGGATGTACATTGTGTAGACCTCAGTACTGTCCTTCTATCTTACGGAGATGTTCTGCCTCCATCCTATCCTGTGTTTTTTTATCAGTCTTCTCCATCACTCACCTTTTCCCACTGCTCAGGCTACTATGCCTCCCTGATCCTGAGCTGGATGTAGACCCCAGTCCCTGCCCCTCTATCTTGCGGAGATGCTGTTCTGCCTTCATCCTGGCCTGCATGTGTGCCGTGGCCTGCTGGACCCTCATCTGGGTAAACTCCTGGATCTTCAGCATCTGCTGGCGGTGACGGTTCCCTGTCATGTGGGCCTCGTAGTTCTGGTAAGAAAAAACGAAGGTTCAACATTAGCTTGCAAAATGTCCTGGTCTTCGTCTCCCTAACAAGAAGAAATCAGAGATTTCAGGCGTCTGCAGTGAAATAATTGGACATTTGTGGTATTTTGAAATAACTGGAATTACATCATATGATCATAAATCTTTTGAATTACACCATAGAATGGATTGTGTCAGTCATAAGATTGTATGATGTACAGTGCTGCGGTATTACACTATGTTTCATGTTTCATACCATGTTTCATACAGTACACATTTCTGGCAACCTCATACCATGTTCTACCACCCAGAGCAAACCTGTACCTGAACATTATGTAATTAAAAAGTGTTAAACACTCTTCATGACCATGTTGCATAGTATCTCACAGTATTTCTTGAAGCCTAGATGGTTAGACAATGTCACTCACAGCATTGATTTATAATTGGAAAAATTGCAGGAAAGGTAGAATACAGCTTTTTAAACATGTTGCTGTGGACAATATTATCAAATGTGACTTTGTGTTCTTTAATCAAAAAGACTCTTCCAATGAAAGTAAGGAAGAAGAAAAGGAGCTACTAATATGCATTACATGCTTGTAATGGATGGCAGTTGCCATTTTTAATTAGTAATTTCTGAATGTGGCCTTTTGGAACTTGTCTCAAATACTTGTCTCTGAAACTGGGTACAATGTCCCTGAACCTGGCAAACCTATTAACAAATGGTTCCGGAGACCACGCCAGTTGGTTCCTGTGTGGATTTTGAACTCTCCCACCTGACTAAACAGCCCTGACCACAAAGCTAACACCAGGAGTGGACACTCCAAACCACATACATCATGTCTGACCAGAACAAAGGCAGCCTCTGTCAGTATCAATCATGTTCATTGGATGGAATCTTAAAGCTAGAGGGGACAACGTGTGTGTGTGTGGGGGGGGGGGGGGTCTGGCAATGCTTAACAGTAAATTTAGGAGTGGCAATAATGCAGTAAATTCTGACAGGCTGGCAACACTTAATTTTATGTAGACTTGTATAAAGCTTTGGAAGCGACTTCTTTGGAATGTTCTTTTGAAGGCAAGATCTGACCCAAAACTAGGACGCTAAGTTATGATTTTTTGGTAATCTGGCAATTTGAATAATTTTTCAAAATGCTTAACAATGAATTCAGGATAAGAGATAAAGTATGCTAAATTGGAATGAAAGTGAACTGCCAGTACTCTTCACAAAGAATTTAATGTTGAAAGTAAAGTGGCTGGCTATGATTATACAGTGAATTAAAATGTTTCACTATTCCTCATGGAAAAAGGTTCTGTAAGTATACTGAATTACAATGGACTTCTCAAGGCTTGTTCTAAGACTCTCATGATCTTCAGGCTTGTTCTAGCCTCTGGTAGACTACAGCATTCCTCCAAGACAGTTTCCTTCACCAGGCTAAACAGATAAGACCAGCCTTTGACTTTTCCTTCTGGTTACAATTTCCTCCATGCAACACAAGACGTCTTAAGATCCCGACATGTAGAACATCAAGGTTAAAGTTGCTGACACATGCCAAGAGCAGTCTGGCATGTCCTGACAGTTCCTCTTACAAGAAATCAGAGATGTCAGACTTCAGTATCTTGCATATATGTGTTTTAGGTATCAGTGAAATGTACTGGAACTTATAATACTGTATAGTATGATCATGGCGTAATACCCGATTGAATTACATCATGATAGTTTGATGTAACTTAGTTTCGGAGGAATGTGATGATACTGAAAATTTGGCCTGTCAACTCCTGCATCACGATTTTAAACATGACCTTCTTGGAGCACGGACTGGGTCTGACAACTTAATCCTTCAAGGGTAAAGTGACTCGGCCAATGTCAGAAGAGGCACACAAGTGCGTGTGTACCTTTCAAGCAGACATGTTCATCCAGGCTTTGCGGCATGTCCGTAGCAAGGCCAGGTTCTGAACCAGGTCAACTCGTGTCATTCAAAACGGTAACACAGATCCCAAGCTAAGGCCACACCAATTTAATTTCTTGGTTAACGGATTTTTCTAGGAAAATAATGGAGCGGGCGGGCGAAAAAAAAACAAAAAAAAAACAGGCCTAGACATCCTATTATGGCCCAAAATGGTACGATAGGAGCTATGAAGTCAACACACCAGGCAGGTTCAAAATTTAAGCAATGAATTTTGAACTTTTAATGATACCACTGCATTGAAAGATGGAATGACTGTAACAAGTAATAAGAAAAGGACTGTTTTCAACTGTTCAGGGAAAAATATGAGCATTTTGCAGTTGATTCTGAATTTTTATTTTTATTTGCAAATCAGAAAAAAATTAAGCGGCGAATCCGTTAACCAAGAAATTAAATTTGTGTGGCCTAAGAGGAAATGTTAAGAATCCCTATAGTTATCTGAAGAAGTGTGTGTGTACCTTTCATGCGGACATGTTCAGCCAGGCTTTGCGGCATGTCCGTAGCAAGGCCAGGTTCTGAACCAGGTCAACTTGTGTCATTCAAAACGGTAACACAGATCCCAAGTCAAGAGGAAATATTACAAACCCCTACAGAAGTAGTACAGTTATCAGGAGAGGCACACAAGTGCGTGTGTACCTTTCATGCGGACATGTTCAGCCAGGCTTTGCGGCATGTCTGTAGCAAGGCCAGGTTCTGAACCAGGTCAACTTGTGTCATTCAAAACGGTAACACAGATCCCAAGTCAAGAGGAAATATTACAAACCCCTACAGAAGTAGTACAGTTATCACTATCAGGAGAGGCACACAAGTGTGTGTGTACCTTTCATGCGGACATGTTCAGTCAGGCTTTGCGGCATGTCCGTAGCAAGGCCAGGTTCTGAACCAGGTCAACTCGTGTCATTCAAAACGGTAACACAGATCCCAAGTCAAGAGGATATGTTACAAATCCCTACAGTTATCTGGATGCTGATCTAATGTACGATGACATGTGAGGGGTAGCAAATGAGGATTAACTACTTGTTCTGGGTTCTATGTTTTCAAGTGGATGTGATTTTGGCTGGCTCTTTCGTCTTCTGACCCAGACCTCTGGACACTCTGAGAACTTGCCAGTGTTTATGTTTGCCTTATACATGTATTTTAGTATACACTGTATATGTCACAGCTTGATGGCATAATAATGTGCTTAGCTCAGGTTTTATCTAGGTACAGTGTTAGTCTCATATGAACACTTTTGTCCTTTTGTTTAACCTATAGCACACCAACGAAAGTAGTCCTTTGGCTATTTTCTATTGGTTAGGCAGCTCTGTTAGGCAGAAGGGAGAAGATTAAAGTAGAAAAACTTTAACCTCTAATCATGAATCTTCTCCCTGCTGCCTTACCCTATTACCAATACAAATTTATAGCCAAACAGCTACCTTAGCAGGTTGAAGGTTAAGTTAACAGCAAGGCCTCCTAAAGTTGTTCAACTTTTCTCTTCAAGGAATGAAGTTAATCATATGCTGACTGGTTCTTAGATTCTGCTTTTCCTTCTTATTGAGTTACTTAGAGGTTGAAAGCTCAGCTCACATTCCCTGTTTGTAACCTCGTTAGCAAGGATTTCTTCATTAGTAACTCAGTCAGTCAGGGGATTATGGGATTGCCTCACTTCTACTTCCCTTTGAAGTCAAACTACAGTTTAAGTTGGTTTGAATGCTCAGTTAGGTTAAATAAATGTTACAACAACTACTGTTAAGAAAATTGAATAAAACACCAACAAAGAAAGGGGGACTGTACATATAAATCTGCGTTGCACTTAACAGTAATCCAAGCATTAGTTACATGTATATTCCTGTTATTTCCGAAGACTGAAAATCCCCTACTCAGAAAATTGCAAATTCCTACTTTTGTAAGTCTCGATCCTACATGTATGTTCAATATTGGTCTTCATGTGATGGCTTAAACTGTGCTTTCTACATGTACATTCCTTTTAGTTAGACTTCTTTGTTCCAAAACAACCTAATGCTAACGCTAACGCTAACTCTAACCCTAACCCTAACCAATAACCCTGGCCCACCCTATGTTTGGACATGAAAGGAACATAGGGATGTTAGGGATTAAATGTTAATGCTAGCCCCATGTCTTACCCTAAGGTTGTAGCACTTGGCGTTGCAGGCATAACAAATGTAGATCTTCTGTTGTTCAGGGCTCTGGAACAGAAGAAGTAAGAGGCATTACAATATCGAAGAGGAGAACCACTCCTTGAGCACTTTAAAAAAACTCAACACACTTATTGAAAAGAGTTATTACGGGGTCCATCTTGATGTTAGTGGATCAAACTTAATAGTCTTGTCTAAACAGCTTGTACTGACTGTACAAAACTGTTGTATTACGTCTAAGGCCACAGCAAGTAATTTTTATGGATGACATCAGCGCACGCATTAATTTTCGCCTGATTTTGGAAAAAAAAAAACAAGAAATTTTGTTTGTTGCCATGCCGGAATGTGGATGTCCAAAGAGGAGAGGAAACAAGACAAGGCTCTGATTTAATGTTTTGTTTCTTACTTTGATGCAGTGATATGTGATGCTTGCTGTGTATATGTGATATTCCCACTGAAACAAAACCATTTGTACAATAATTGAGTCAAAATCTAAAAATGTAGGAACCTTGTTTTTTTTCGCCCGCTCGCATTAGATTTGGAGTCTGCGGAGGATGTCATACATAAAATTTACTTGCTGTGGCCTTACTATACAAAACTGTTGTTTTACGGCTAAAGATGCTTTTCCGGTTATGCAAAAGAAACAAACACCTGTTGTCCTGGCCTGTCATCGTTGACTGTCCTGCCCTCCCCACCCTGCTGAATGGTCACCTGGATGTCACTTGCAGGCACCTGGACAAAACACAGAGGACAACTTGAGCACCTTGCAAAATACCTGTAGTGTTAGGTCATTGAAAAGGCAGAATACTAGTACTTGATTATATGCAAAAAAGGCCAAAAAGAAGAATTGATGATAGAGCTTCAATTTACCTTCCTTTGTCTTTTATGTAAAGTGCATGCAACACCTGCATGTAATATATCCTCAAAGTGTCACAATACATGTAGCGAGCTTTAAAAAATGAGACTAAATATCTTATAAAAGTTTGCGATTACAATCAAGAAAATTGACTATAGCTAAGTGGCTAAATAATGATTCTAGGCCACAAGACAAAACGTTTGGGGAACCAAAGGAAAAGACTGAGGTGAATGAACTGTGTATATAGGCCTGGAAAACTGATGAAAGATAAAAGACAACTGTCGACCATCTGGAGTGACCAGTGCCAAGAATTTAAGATTGGCACCTCTAATTCTAAACAAGTCACATGTTTTAAAGCAGTTTACTGAGTCAACCAGAACAGCAAAGGTTTTCAGGGGAAACATGTAGAATCGGCTATATGGGGACCTGCAAGCCCTTTTCCATAGAGGGTAATTGGCCGTTTTAATTCTACGTAGAGCGTAGATGGACGATTGGTGCATTTTGTGTAGAGCGTATTCGCCGTTTTAATCCTACGTAATGTGTTGTAGCCACTTGGAATTTATTGTAAAGCGTAATCGAGAGGCTTCCGAATTCAGCGTAGAGCGTTGTCGGGATCCCTCTTTGCAGGCCCTCCTATATCAGTCTCTAGTATTGTACAATGTTGAATTTGCTCTACAAAATATCTTTATTTTTCAAAGATATTTAGTTGATAACAAATGAAATGTCCAAACAAAATAGAAATCCAAGCAGCCAAGACATTTTGCAGACAGAACATACATGTTAACAACTTCACACGATCGTTTAAAGCCAGTGTCAGAAGTGACCCCAGGCAGTACAACAGTTAACAGGTGGTAATGTCGAGAACTGCATGTATGTGGTTTAGACCCTGGAGTACTCATTATACCAATTAAGATAGCTCAGTCAGTGTGTCAAGTTGGCACTTATCTCCCTGTACAATGTCTGGTATGTAGGGTTGGGGGAGGGTTGGAGATATTAGAAAGAACCCAGATTAAAGACTTCCCTCTCAAAGCAGAGTGAGTAGAGGGCTGGAAATACAATCTGCATAATTTTATGGATGTTAATGCAGGTAAAATTGGAGCTGTGCAGGTACAAGTTGTATTTGGACTGTCTATGTACCGATACATTTAGGCATACATTACTTTTGGTTGCTGCATAGACTCTTGCCACCTATGATAGTGTAAAAGAAATGAATTGGCAATGGTTTCTCAACAGTTGTTAGTATGATCACTACTTCCTAAATTCTGAGTGGTGCAGGTAAAATTTATCTGGTACAGGTAATTTTCAATTTTATTTCGAAACAGACTATTTCAAGCCCTACACTGTACAATGTCTGGTATGTAGGGTTGGAGGAGGATTGGGAATTTTTAATGGAACCCAGGTTAAAGATTTCCCTCTCAAATACAGAGGGGATTAGCCTGGGTGTCAGACTGTTTCAAGGGCCTACACAGGCAAACATGCCCCCAAGGAAATTATACCACAGCCGCCCTCAGTTAGGCCTTGATACGGGCACACTGGCTAACTCTGGGCCAGGATCTGGCTCAAGTAACGGTAATTTAGATGGGCGGGGCGCAATGCTTCTGGCCACCAAAGGCAACCAGCTAATGGCCTTATATCTAGTCTGGCTCCCAGGGTAAGAAACTCACACCTAGGAGAGGTACAATGTAGGCCCCATGGAGGCCTTCTCGACTGCCTGGTTGATGATGTGAAGCTGTACTTCCATCAGAATGTCCAGACGGCGCCCTACATGCTGAAATGGCTGCGGGAACAGGCAGCAGACAAGGCACGATGGAACGGAACTTTTAAGACTAACGATGTCACACACTGATTTGGTGTGCCAATGACAGTTTAATACCAGTTAGAACTGTATTCATTTGTCACCAAGAACAGTATATTATTATTATATATATCCCAGGGTAATACTGCGCCTTGTGTGTTATGGGTCTGGCGTCCAGGCTAAGTCTAAGAGCGAGTACAAAATGTACATCTGCCCACAAGGTAACCAGGTCAGGTCTGCTGTGCATCAGTCTCAGTTTATACGGGACATTTCACATCACAGGGACATGGGCCAAGCCATGTGGCACCATTCTGTCTCAACATGCAGGCTCTTTAAAAACTTGTCCACAACTTAGAGACAGGGTGATTTATCTCTCATTGGACTATTCCATTCAAGCAGTCGGTAAGATTTCTTCCGACTACTTAAATGATTTCTCTTTTGTTTCAACGTCCTTAAATATGAATGTGTTGAACTTCAAATTCTATTTCTATTTTTTTTCCGTATAGTTGGTAATGTTTGCCAACTACCGTCATAATACATTTTTTGTGCGATGAAATTCAACTCAACTCCTTGGGAGTAATGGCAAAGTGTGCCGCACAGGGATATCAAACTTGGAGATTCAAGGACGAATATAAAAAAGAAATGAGGGGAGTACTGTAACAATTGGATTCATACCACTAACTGACCCACTCCAAATCCAATGGACCTTTTGGTATAGTGGTTAGTGCATTGGGTTCTGAAGCTGGCACCCCGGGTCCAATTCCTAGGCACCAGAGTTTTTCATGTTTCTACTTTTCCTTACTGTTTTATCTTCTGGAGACTGAATGGCTGACTTCTATTCTGCTGTAAAGTACTAAAACATTGATGGACTTGTTTAGAATTAGAGGTGCTAATTTATGTTGTATCCATCCATGTTTGAACACACAAAACATATTTGCAGAAATTCCACATGTCTGTCTTGTGTTTACCCGATTAGTGGCGAGTATGGCACAACGGTCAGAGTGTTGGACTCGGAACCAATAAGTCCCGGGTTCGATACTCACCGTGGCCCGACGTTATGCCCTTGGGAAAGGCACTTTACACGACTTCCCCACCTGTACGGTGGAGTGACGCCCACCGAGCCTAGTCTTAGGCTAATCTGTCTAACTGTGTGCCAAAAATATGCTACAGATTTGGTGCATCAATGTGTCAACATCAGCACATTTGCCACCGAGAGCCGTTAAATTTTTTTTTTACCTGATCAGGATTGCTGACATCATCATCATCAGGTGTGGGTTCGGATGGATCGTACGCGGTGGTGTCTACTCGGGACTTCTTCACCTCAGGACCATCATCCTCCTCTCTCCTCCCCTCATCGCTCCGCTGGTCAGACTCCGGCGTCCGGCGGTCGCGGCTCCAGCTCCTCTCGCTGTTCCCACTCCAACCACGGTCCCCGCCGCTTGGATAGCGACTCCTCTGCTGGGATAGGAAAGGAATAACATAAATATCAAGAAGATATACATTTTTGTCATCTTTGTATGTTGATCTGAAATGACAGGCTCTGGGTAGTAAGATGTTTGTTTGTTTGTTTAGGATCTCCATTAGTGTGAATTTCACACTACTCTTCCTTGAGTCCTAGTGAATAATCAGACAATTATTTGGACCATCGCACACCGGGGCATGGCCCCTACTCTTTTTCGAAAGGTGTGGTGGGATCTTTAATGTGCATGGGGTGTGGCTCTCCCAAAACACGGGACCTCCATTTAACGTCCTATCCGATGGACGTCCCTAGCCGAAGCTAGGTACTCATTTCCACCTGAGTAAAGTGAGGAAAGTCGTGTAAAGTAAAGATGTGGTATGGAGGTATCAGGAATGTGTACTGTGTAATCCTGTACATGTACATGCACGGTACATGTATGTACAGGTTTAATCTCACTGTCTGATTTCCTAAGGACCAGACCAATTTCACTTGTCTTTTCTCAAAATTTTTTAAACATATGATGTGGAACTTAAAAGTCAACATGAAATTGTCTTAGAGGAATGTCCATACGAAGAGTTTATATGGTCAGACTCATGTTTTGACTGATTTTAATTTCTAGTAATAATATCAGAGAAGGAAGAAAATAAATTTAAGTGTGGCCCAATATCAACTTACAATATGTAGCATTGAAAAAAAAAGCTCCCAATAAATGGTAGCTTTTGTCACTACCATATATCGCAATTAAATGCAAAGTGTGTCAGTTTCTGGTCTGTTTCATAGTGTTTGTTTGTTTGTTCATTTGAGCACTCAAATTGGCCTGCTTTTCATTTAGTTCATGAGGTCAGGGTCAGATGTATTTTTAGACAAATATATTATCACAAGATACATGAACAAATCCAAGCATACAGTGACTGTTGTAGGACCCGTACATTGCCTGAATGCATGGATGAATGTCGATACTGTACGTATGTGGGTTTTACAAATCCGTGAGACCAAGCGAATAGCAGTAATAGCCGAGAGAACCCCGTGCTTACAGAGGACTTCCACCCAGCATGGTCAGGATTAACCCAGAATGTGTGCCTGACTGCATGTAGCTATGCACCCTGAGTGATTCAGTTTCATACAGTAGCTCAGAGTTGACCCAAGAGCCAGCCGTATGATAAACAGTTTATATGACCTCCAGATGACCTGATAACCAGAGGGATGGTTAGGATGTCTGGTGTCCTGCACTGGTATCCAGTCTGGGACTGTTATCTTGTCTGTTGGACACTTTCAGGATAAAGCTAGATACACAATAGACATGTACATGTATGTACAAAAGACTTTGAAGTCATGAGTGGAACAGCAACTTAATGAAAGAACAGCATGCCCGTAGCCAGGATTTTGAATGGGGGGGTTCTTCCCACTGCTTGAGGGGACCCGCGAGTGCCGAAGGCGTGAGTTTTTAGGGGGCCCCCGGAAAATTTTGAAAAATGAACCTTCTGAAATGCCATTTCCTGCATTTTTGAGAGGATTTCAGAGAAAAAAATCAGAGATAACCTCCCTGGCTACGGGCATGGAAAATGTGTCTTTGATAATGATTCATTTTAGTGGAACAAGAAAGCAGAGACTTTATACTTCCAGGAAGTGTCTTGGGTTTTCGTGAATGTATTGAGACTGTATTGTATCATCATGGGGTAATACCCGATTGAATTACATCATAGAATGGATTATCACTTGATTGTACAACAGAACTTTCTCTATGGTTTATGTTTCACACTATGATTACGCTTTACGATAAATTCCAAGTGGCTACAATGCATTACGTAGAATTAAAACGGCGGATTACGCTCTATGGAAAAGGGCTTGCAGGACCCCTATGATAGCATTTTCGCTTGAGGACAATTGGAGGAGGGCCTGCAAGCCCTTTTTCGTAAGGTGTAATCAGGCCGTTTTAGACTTCGTAATTCGTAGGCAGCCTCCACAAAAATCAACTTAATTCGTAATTGGACATTAGCCGCAAATCGTAAAGTCGTAATCAGCTCTGAGACTTTAGCGTAATTCGTAATATGCGGCGAAAATTTTGCGTAATTCGTAATCACTACCCCCCCTTGCAGGCCCTCTTGGAGCCAGTGTGTAAAGGTTCATGAGGTGCAAACATTCATTAGACAAGATACAAGTAGTCTACTTTGAGTGGGTTAGACTGATTTTAACAGTTTCACATGTTCTTTCTTAACTTAGAACAGACATTTCCTTTCAAGATATGCAGAGGTAAATCTTGAGAGAAAAACTAGGTCAATCTCATCTATTAAGGAGCCCCAAGAAATGTTCTTGTCAGGTCATCTTGGTAAATAAATGTCTTCACAGTAAGCCAAGACAGATGATGAGGATTCAAGTAGACACAGCTGTTTACCCTGACACTTTTCTCAGTTCTTCTGAGGGGGCCTGCATGGGGGGTCCCGACAACGCTCTACGCTAAATTTTGAGATCCGGCTACATGTTACGCTACAGTAGCGATTACGCTTTACAATAAATTTCAAGTGGCTACAACGCATTTATTATACGTAGCATTAAAACTCGGAATACGCTCTATGCAAAACGCGCCAATTACGCTCTACGTTGAATTAGAGTGGTCCGTCTACGCTGTACGTAGAATTAAAACGACCGATTACGCTCTACATAAAAAGGGCATGTGGACCCCCTTCTGAGTGTGAAGGAAATTAGGGATTGAGATGCTTGAGCTTGACTTTAAGAGATTGCTAAAGTAATTGGAGAGATGAAGCCAAATTTTACAGATATTGTGGCAGTGTTCTAGCCAGGCTGAATTTTTTCCATCACCTCAATTTGGTTTGACGTAACTTTACTGTGGCAAAAAAATCGTAGGATTTGGAGGGGGGGATTACATATGTTCCCCCGGGAAAATTGTGAAATCTTAACGCTCTGATAATTTTGAAAGCAAATTTTGCTTGTAGACCAAACTTAGTTTATTGTCAATTTGTCATATTAATAAATCTTTGTTTCCCTATCTTTACACACCTATTTTTGCCTGTCAAAAATAGAGGATTCTGCAAAATTTTTGTCTGTCATGAGCGGCAAAATTCCATCAAATGTTGGAAAGATAGACGCTGCTGAGTAAGCTATACAGGCTTACTGAAGTGTGCCTTGCAGCTACCTTTGCTATGCCACCTGTTGATGTAATGAATTGTTAATGTCACAGGGTCAGGCTAATGGCAGGCAGAGGTGGAGACGGTAATAAATTCTCCCTGTCCCAGATTACTCCACACCAGCTGGGTTACACATCAATCAGTACACACTTTCATCAGGTGTTCCTGGTGGGAATTGCCACCTGCATACGCAGGTTAGGCCACAGCAAGTAAATTTCATGGATGACATCCTCTGCAGACTCCAAACCTAATGCGAGCTGGCAAAAAAAAAAACAAGGCGGGCCCCAAAAAACAAGGTTCCTACATTTCAAAATTTTGACTCAATCATTGTACAAATGGTTTTGATTCAGTGGGAACATCACATATACACAGCCAACATCACATATCACTGCATCAAAGAAAGAAACAAAACTTTTAATTTAAATCAGAGCCTTTTCTTGTCTCCTTCATAGTTATCTGCCATCCACCTTCCGGCATGGCAACAGACATCTTTGCCCATTTTCGGCATGTTGACCAATGTCAGAAGGCAACAAATTTTTTTCCCCCCAAATCAGGCGAAAATTAATGCGCGCGCTGATGTCATCCATAAAAATAACTTGTTGTGGCCTTAGTGCAGGTAAAACTGGAGCTGTGCAGGTATTTCTGATGTCTACCTGCATCTAACCTGAACTGGTCCATGTACTGGGTATATGCAGGTTAGTGCAGGTAAAACTGGAGCTGTGCAGGTATTTCTGATGTCTACCTGCATCTAACCTGAACTGGTCCTTGTACTGGGTATATGCAGGTTAGTGCAGGTTAAATTGGAGCTGTGCAGGTATTTCTGATGTCTACCTGCACCTAACCTGTACTGGTCCATGTACTGGGTATGTGCAGGTTAGTGCAGGTAAAACTGGAGCTGTGCAGGTATTTCTGATGTCTACCTGCACCTAACCTGCACTGGTCCATGTACTGGGTATGTGCAGGTTAGTGCAGGTAAAACTGGAGCTGTGCAGGTATTTCTGATGTCTACCTGCACCTAACCTGCACTGGTCCATGTACTGGGTATATGCAGGTTAGTGCAGGTTAAATTGGAGCTGTGCAGGTATTTCTGATGCCTACCTGCACCTAACCTGCACTGGCCATATACCTTTTGCACATCGAAGTAGCCATTTGGCTATCAATTCTCCAGTACTTACAGAGTTAGGCAGCAGGAATAGGGTTTAAAAATATGCTTGTTACCTGATACCGCTATTCAATACTAACATCTTGGCAACATTACTACTTATTATATACTACATGCACATAATGCATTCCTGGACAGGATTTAAGGTAACCTTAGATTGAAGGTATTAGGTAGTCCTTATATTAAAACTTGTATTTTAGTTGTAACCCAAGTTGGAAGTGCCCCAAATCTACAGTCTACACGTGTCTGGAATCAGATTCACATGGGGGAAGACTCCCAGAGAGAGGAAGGCACAAAATCCTGTTTTGGCAGCAACAAACTTGAAGTAAAATTCATAAAAGTCACTGGCAGTATATTTAACATCAATGCAATACATGTATGTATCGTTTATCAGCATTGTAAATTTATATGTATATGAGAATACATTAAAAAATTGTAAAGATTATCCTAAAAATGGATATTTTCTGCCATGATGATAACGTGCCTCTGTGTCTTCTATCAGTAGTATAGCTTGAATGTGTAGATAATACTAAATTACATTGCAGTTTCTGTGCAATTAACTTGAACTTGGAATATCTTAATACTGGCCAACTTACATGTAAGACCAAAGGTCTGAGACAAGATTTGTATCTTGGCTCAGAATCTCCATGGATAACCTTTAACCTAGTGTTTTGAGATTTTTTTCAACCTTTAT